GCGCTGGGAGCTGGGCCCCTGCCATGGGGAAGTGGGACCCGACGCCTGTCCCCGGCCCTGCCTCCCGCCTCCTGCCAGAGGCCCCGGGACACTTGACAGCCGCACGCTTTGGTGACGCTCCGGGCAAGGAAATTCTCCTTAGGCGGGTCCCCCCAGGCTTTGGGGTCCTGCTTCCTGCGGTGCTGCCAGTAACCAGCCGCCCTGAAATCGGCTTTGCGGGTAACGCAACCCACAGCCTCTCTGCAGGAAGTCTGTCTGCAACAGGCTGAAGTGGAGAGAGGAAGATGGATCTTCTTCCATGGTTTGGCTGAAATGCTCCGTATCTGCCGTTTGCGGCATCCTCTGCCGGCAACTATTGCGATCTATGTTCCATTTCATGGCCCAACGGGCAGACTACATTAGAATCCCTCTCAATCTTGTTACTCCTCTGTGAAATCTGCATAGTCTATCTCTGGGTTAGTGGCGTTAATTGAAAACCAATAATCGTGTGCAACAGAAACTCAGGATGTGCACTTGCCAACATGGAGGCCATGCACAATCTTTATCGCTCAGGGAGGTAGAGTTCCTACAGTGATGTAGTCTGTGACTGTGGGGTTACTGAGGCAGCGGTGTAATGTACACATGGCTAAAAAGAACTTTGTGCATATTTTCTTACCCTGACCTGAACTTACCCTTTCTCTACCCATCAATCAGACAGCTCTCATTAATACTGCTTGCAACCTTCTCCTTCTATCACTATTAAATTGCCAGGTTTTTCACTGACATTCTAACCAGCCTGTCTGGCCATTTGCCCTTCTGTTTCTGTCAAGAGCACTTTTTTAACTGCTCAGGTTCTTTTGATCTTTTAGGGTGTCAGCATTGGCAAAGCAAATCCTGGTAATTTTGCTGGCACCTAAAAATAGCACCTCTCAGTTATGGCTCCATTGTTCTCCATGCTGCTTTGAAGATATGTACCTGCACCTGTCTTATCTGTGTCATTGTTTCAGCTTTCCTGTGTTGTTCTGTAACATCCCTTTTATAGACTTCTTTGAAGCAAAATGCAGGACAATGTAGCACTTTAAAGACTAACAAGATGGTTTATTAGATGATGAGCTTTCATGGGCCAGACCCACTTCCTCAGATCAAATAGTGGAAGAAAGTAGTCACAACCATATATACCAAAGGATACAATTAAAAAAATGAACAAATATGAAAAGGACAAATCACATTGCTACATTAAACACGGCTACATTTCTATCATTATAGACTTCTTTGATTTTGTTGTGTGCCTTTAAACAGGCAGCCTACAAAATTGAAACCAAGTCATGTGTAGTAGTAATAATACAGACATTTTTGCCAGTTTGTCACAGAAGGCACTCAGCATCTTGCAAGATCTGGCCTTTCCTATAAAATGTCATTTTGCAGACAAAAGATGACACTTCCTTCTTCTGAGCTTCTAGGAGAGAGGTTGGCACTATTTGAAGTCTCATAACGCCCTGTCCTCGTTCATTCAGATATGCTTAAATGTCAAAGAGATTGTCTCCAATATTTTTCTTTAACATCAAATGACCAGCAGTGGGATCATTCCTATGAAGCGTTTAGCATCCTAACCTTGCGTGCTCAGCTGCTGTTGGCGTCAACAGAAATATTTGTGTTTCAGCAATTCATAGAAAAAGGCTCTATATTCTCAAGGCTTTTGCTCTCAATACTTCTCTCTCTCTCTCTCTCCCTCTCTCTTTTTCTGTATAGCTTCCTCACTTACAACATTCTAATCAGGATGTACTGTTTTTGCAGTTAGTTCATTGAAACCAAAAGTTCCCCTTCTTAAGAAGATAAGTTCCTTATTTCATGTATGTCCTTTTTCAAAAGATGTAATCCAGATGTGAACTGATCAATGACAGCTGCATCTTTCAGCATTATCACAGTGTTTGTAGTAATTGTGTACACACATCACATGATTTTTCTTTTACATATTCAGCTCTCGCATGCAGAACTCATTCAGTTGCTTAGCAATGTTTAGAAAATGAATATAAATGGCAAAAATAATGATGCTTACCAGTAACTAGTTAACCAGTGGGCCTGCCGGGTTGGAGCAGCCCTCGGCCCGATGTAGGCGAGGGGCTGCTCTAGCTTGGCTGGGCTCACTGTGCCATGCCACAGACTGGGGGCACTTCAGCCCAGCCGGGCGCACTGCACTGTTCCATGGATTGTGGGTGCTGCAGCCTGGCCAGATTGGAGTAACTCTCTGCCCACGGCATGGTGCCATGTGATGAGCCTGGCCTGGCCAGAGCAGCCCCCGCCTCTGGCCCAGTAGGCCCAGCCTTGCCTGAGCAGCCTGAGTTAATTGGTGAAACATAAACGTAACATTTAATTGGTTAAACAGTATTTTGCATCCCTACTTTAAATGAACCAATAATTTTGTAATTGCATTATGGGTGCAAACATTCTCGTTTACAAAACATATCAAATGGAAGAGCCGTTTTCCTTTGAATAACAAGTATTCAGTTACTTATTTCATAACACTGGGAGTGTTTTTCACCATATTGTGAATATAGGTACTTCACGCACTGTGAAAAAGTTCTCATTTTGATGTAACAGAAACAATAATAAAATCAGTATCTAAGCAATGTTATTAAATACAAATGTACCAACAGTGCATTCAGTGCAGATCCTTTGGCTCAGACTTGTGATTACACAAATGCCAAAAATTGGTAAATTATGATCAGCATAACATCAGTACTTTGCCTTTGGTTAAATACTTACTGTGTTGACTTTACAGAGCAGTAGATCTCCACCTAACACCTCTCCCCCCACCCCCAAAGAAAGGATTGGGCTGCAAAATTCATTTTCAGTGTTGTGGGTCCCTCTGAAAAAAATACCTTGCAGGGACTGAACCATGAGTACAGTTTGTCATTATCAAAGATAATCATTTTCTCTGTGTAACCCTTCTGCCGGGTAGGCCTGGCAGCAACCAGAGCCGGGTTCAATATCTAGGGGTCCATCTCACACAGAACCAGCTCGAGCCCCCACCCAGTAGCCTGGGAAATTCACACACCCCTGGGCGCCTCTGAGAGGCAATGCTTCCCCACTCGCAAGCACAGAGTCTGAGTGTAGAAAAGAAACATTTAATGGTATTTATGGTTGTGACAATTTTCTTCCACTATTTGATCTGAGGAAGTGGGTCTGGCCCACGAAAGCTCATCACCTAATAAACCATCTTGTTAGTCTTTAAAGTGCTACATAGTCCAGTTTTTTCTTTCCAACAGGTGCAACGTGTTCTAGTTTTAGCAAGGATGCCCTATTTTCATCCTCAATG